CAGACGACGCCAGGGCGTACATCCGACCCCTTGGCAAGCAGCAAAGTACTGCGCCTGCCACGAAATCTGCGCCGGTGCCCAGCTGACGCCAGACGACGCCAGGGCGTACATCCGACCCCTTGGCAAGCAACAAAAAAAACAAGAACCCCTCACAACAATGTGGGGAAAAATAGTCGTAATTTGATTAATCATATTGGAAATAGTAGTTAGCAATAGAAATAAGCATATTAATAATATAGGAATCGGAGGAGGGTTAAGAATAATCGAAATTAGATGATAAATGAATAAAGATGCAAAATATATTTTTGAATTAAAATATGAAATCATTTTTTGGAATATTTTTATTTGATATTCGATGCAGTAATTCTGTTTTTGATATATAATATAGAATTATTTTTTGATATATAGTAATTTATATATTTGATTTTTGATATATATTTAGATTTATATGAATTAATTCTAGATTTTTATTCTATATTATAAAGAATAAAATATATTATATTTTAAATTATACAGGATATTATTGAAATTATGCGATGGAATATTGTTTTTTTATATAATATTTTCTATATATTGCATTTTCGATAAACCTTTTCTATATTATTGAATTCATTATTTATCAAGATAATTAAGTAAATATATTATGTATAAATTCATTCATGTTGAATATTTCTTTAGAACATATAATTATTGAAATTTAATATAAAATAGGAATGAATTATTTCTAAAGATAAATCTTCATTCATTATAGATCATAAATATCATTATGAAATTATTCATAATTGGAAACAAAACGGGATAATTGAAATTATTGAAAAGATCTATTTATTTTATATTTAAGAAGAACTTGTGTTTTTTTTTTTGTTTCCTTTTATGATCCGTGTTAAAATAATCAATTCCTTTCATCTTTTGAAAATATTTATTTCATTTCATTTTCCTTTTCAAGGAAAAACTAGCGGATCATTATAACGAAGGTTCATATCAATTCCGACATATATAAGATTAAATAAATATTACAAAAACAATATTAAATGATCAATATTTTTTGTTATTAAATAGTTATAGGATTTCCAATTATATTAATAATTTCTCTAAATATAAATGCTTGAAATATATATTTTTTTAGCATTTAAATATATATATATAGATAAAGTATTTTTAAATCATAGCATTAAACAATAGATATTTTAATATACAATTTAAACGTGCGAATAGAATTAAATATATATATATTGAATCTATTTATATATTAAAAAATTATTTTCAAAATTTTATAGAAAATAATCTATATTTTTTAATATATCTAAAATTATTGAAATTTTGAAATATTTATGAATAATATTAATGCTTATCAAATATAATATATATATCTATTTTATATTTATATTTGATTTTATATCTAATTTTTACACTATTTACATTAATGAAATATATCATAAATATAACAGATATATTAATATATAAATATGTCCCTTCATCCTTATAATTTCTTCCTTACCCTTCCATCATTAATTTTTTCAAATGTTCCTTTATATCTTTCTATCCTTCAAATATTCTATTTTATCTTTCTTTTATCCTTTAATCTTTCATTTTTATCGTTCAATCTTTCCGCCCTATCCTTCAACATGTCGTTTTATCTTGCTATACTTCAACCTTTCCTATTTATTTTCCATCTTTCCTTGCTATCCTTCAACAATATCCTTTAGCACTTCATATTTCTCTTTCCATCCTTTAATCTTTCCTTTTTATACTTCAATTTTTCTTTCCATCCAATTCTACCCTTCAATTTTTGCCTTCTATCTTTCAACCTTTCTCTTCATCCAAAAGAATCACAAGAAAAAATCGTGCGCAAAGGATGGGAACAATTGAAATAAGAGAAAGCAGTTCATGGTCACTTGCAAACGCCCAGAAATAAAGAATATCGGATTAAGCGATTCCAATGAAATATCCTCTGTTGTGCATAAGGCAAACGTGTGCCGCATAAGGAAGGCATTTGAAACAGGAATTCAGCCTGCTAAACTGGACGCTGGGCCGTGCCCTGTCGCAATCAAAGGAAGGAAATTTTAAACAGATCATCGACTGTATTATTTGAAAATAAAACAAACGGTCATGGATACCGTAGATATAACACGATTAATCATCAACAGAATATAATCGTCTTGGACGACTCTGAAGAATATTAGTCCGCTGTTAGGCAGCGGTGAGGCTGCACACTCCGGGCGAAGGATCCCGCAGGCTTGCAGCCCTGGCCCGCGGTCCCCAGCAACAAATGTATTCTTGGGGCTCTTGAGAACAAACTTTGGGGCTATGACAACAATGCTTTCGGACACCGTGATGGTTACTCGGAAACAACGGCCGCATATGACTTTGACCGGGCCGTGCCCTGTCCAATAAAGCCATGGGCGGCCGTGTCAGGTCCATTACGGGGTGGGGCTTTGGCCGGGCCGTGCCCTGTGCATTAGAGCCATGGGCGGCCGTGCCCGGGGGATTACAACAATATTCATCAGGAAAAAGGTATGGAGAAAATATCCATGTCGTGCCCTATCCATTAGGACCATGGGCCAAAGGTCTTTAAAAGATCCGTGCATAACAAATATATAATATATATATTTCGATAAAATTCTTCTACAATAATTCTATCAATAAGCTAATATATTTAAGCTCAATACCAGATAAAAAATCGTCGGCACAATCCACCTAACTTATTCAAACCATTTAAAATAAATAATATTCCCAAGCAGAAGCAAAAAAGAAAACATATAAATTAATATTTCTAAAATCAATATCGAATAAAAACACAAAAATGCAATCCACCTCTAAAATCAAATAAATCGGAGGTATTCAATTCCTATCCAATTAAATTGTATAACCTATTCAATGCCGTATCTATTATAGTACCGTGCTATATTTGGGAAGATATTAAGACAATTTATTAAATGGAAGATCCATTTTTCGAGAAAAATCCAAGCAACAGCAAATGGAAGAAATACCTTGTTGCATAAAATAAGTGTTCAATTTCTTCCATTTGTATTAAAGGCTTGCTCTATCATTAGAAAAATTAAGAGAAATAGCAGGGAGAGATTTTTTTTTTTCCACGCGTGCACGTCACCTAATTTAAAGAAGAGAATAACCTAATATTCTCCGAAACCTTTATTGGTTGTTAGTTTGTTTTTCCTTTTTTTGCTTCCTGGTCATATTTCTTCCATTTAGTTTCTATTCTTCACCTCTAATCAATAAATCCTTTTCCTGTTCCTTATCTTTCTCCTCCCTGCTTCCTCGTCTTTTTCCTCTTTCCTTTTTTTATCTTTTTCCCCTTCCTTTTCTTTTTCCCCTTCCTCTTCCTTTTGCTCTTCCTTTGTGTTTTCCTTTTCCCTTCCTCTTCCTGTTCTCTTCCTTTTCTTGTTCCTTGTTCTCTTCCTCTTCCTTCCTCTTTTCCTTTTCCTGTTCTTTTTGCTCTTCCTCTTCCTTTTCCCCTTCCTCTTTTCTTCCTGTTCCTTGTCCTCTTCCTTCTCCTCCTCTTCCCCGTTTCCTTTTCCTTCTCTATCCTTTTCTTTTTTTTAACAAGAAAACCACCTACAACCATTCAAATGAAATCGGAACATACATATGGTTCCGGGTATTTCTTCCATTTCATCTAATCTCGGGCCATTTTCCGACCCCACATCAAAATAACAAATCGGGAATTTGTTAGCACAAATCATTTCTTCCAAAATATAACACGGTAAAAAAAAATCGTACAAACCGCAAAATCGTACAAAAAAAAATCGGTAAAATAATAATTTACGAAAATAAAAGAAAATATATATAATTTTTCTATAAACGAATAAAAGAACATATTCTTCACATAAAACCCCCTACATATTCTTTATTTTAACCATACATAACTAATAAATAAAAAAACATAAACCAAACAAATATTAATGCCAAATTAAAAATACAACATTTTCCATTAAATTCCAAATTTCAATATATAAATAAACAAAATCCATATTATAAATCGAACAATTCATATTAAATTTTATACAATATTTCATTATTGCGAATCTATTATATTATTAATCATAATATTTTATAAATTATTTTTATTTATATTCGAATTATATTAATTATTAATTCTTTAAATATATTAATAATTATAATTTATTAACTATATATAATTATATATATTGTTAATTATTTATATATTATATATTTTTTTATTTCTAGCATTCAAAAAATCAATTTTTAATTGATTATAGATGAATTTATTGCAAATAATCATTTCAATTTGCCAAATGGATGCCGAAGAAATCCAAACCGCAATATCCACAATCTGGAAATATAAATTGATACCTTGAAGCACAAGATTTCATTATTAAACAGGATCCAGAAACAGCCATTATGCTTGACTAGTAAAGTTTTGTGCAGTGAACATGTAATTTCAGCCTGGAAACTTGTACTGAAAACATGCCAGGCGAAAATCCTGAAGACCACCATGTTTCATGCGGCAATACCAAAGAGTCACTCCGACAATGAAGATGATTCTCAAGAGCCCAGAGAACCAGGATTCCAAATGCATAGGGCCCTTTCCCGAGATTGCCACCACAGAGGTTCTTTTTACTTCACTCTGAAAGGCTTTGGACGCCAATCCATCCTCACAAACATGCAGCAGAATCAGCAGAAATTCCATGGACCAACTGCAAGCTGAAGCATTGGAACATATATTAACATATCCACCCACTTGGACTTTTGACATGTCGCCCAGTTTTCAGCCCTGGAAGTGTAGAACATTCCGGTGATCTCAATTTCCACAAAACAGTGCAGGCAAGTCACAAAAACAACACCTGAGACAGTCTCGATAAAGGACAGGCTGATCGCCTTGACAATCAGTTTGCCAAGTGCATTGCAATACATCAAGAACTTCATGCCCACCAAAGCCAGCAGGAGATCAATGGCCAGCAAAGGCAGTTGCACCATGAAGATGGTGATCAACTTTGCAATCAAGGGGAGGCTACAGATTTGCAGCTTCCCCTGCTTGCTGTTGATTGTTATAGTCCCCACTCTGGGCATAGAGGCAATGACCAGCGACCCCGCAGCTGCATTCACAATGGCTGGCGTGCACTTGCCTCAAGGGACAGCCGTTTCAGCAGTTGGGATTTGACAATAAACTCACACTGGTTGCAAGAGACTCACCTGTTCTTGACCTGTCACTACTCACCACGTCTCCGCCTTTTGTTTGAAGTGCGACCCAGCAAAGTCTTGCGATAGAACTGGAACGAAGATGACCGAAGAACTCGGAACACTGTTTGGGGCGCGTTTTTGAAGAATCAGGGGCTGCAGGTCCAGACATAAAGCAAGCTGCAAAGCCACACGAAGGTTACCATGGACTGGGACCATGGTACACTGTGGTCTTTCAAGCACAGCCCCACAGCCGCATTGGACCTTGGTCTGGGGCTGATAACAATCCCTGATTGCTCCCAAGAAAGAGAAAGCAAACCGAGACCTGACACAAGAAGATCTAAGAAGCCTACCATTCAAAGGGTCGAAGGGAAGAGAATGTCACACAAGGAACGGATTCAAGGCCGCTTGTGAGTCTTGTTTGAACCTCCTTCTCAGGAATCAGGTTATGAAATCAATGGCGGTTCAAATCCTGGACAGTGGAGTTGGAGTTCAAAAAAAACAAACAAACAAACAATATCTATGAATATTTAAAGGAAAACACACAGACTACTGTGCGCAGACTGCATAGCACCTAAAGGCCCAAAAGTATCACCCTTCGTATGATGGCAGGACCATGTGGAAGGACCAGAATTGGTCAAGATGCTCTGGGAGTTTCTCATTCTTCTCCATAGCATCATAGAGGTCCTGTCAGGTGCAAAGCTGGTTCCGGTCTCAAGAGCCACCTACTCCGAGTAATTACTGTATATACTCCTTTTGTTGCTGCATCCTGAGGTGTCATGACACCTGGCTTGCAAAAAGGATGATTGACTTCGTGCCAGGAATTCGCGTGCACCTGCTGGGCTTCACATTCGGGGCCATGAACGAATCCTCTCAAGGCCAGGAAGGCGCACACCAGCACTGCGTCCTCTGCCAGTGTGCGTGTGCCCAGAATCTCGTAGGGATCTTGCATTCGCTCTTCGGAGAACAAGAACAAAAGCCCGACCAGGACCTGCGTCGACTGGAAGCCCAGACTCATCAGTCCGGACCTGTAAGTGTATACCAGTGACACTATCAGTCACACCAGTCACCGGTTAAAGACACCAAATGAAATGCCTTCAGCAAAGGTCTTTGGAGGAAGCCAACAAAAACTCTTAGTCACATTGGGTTGGAGATCAAACGAGTCAAAGAAGAGTTGATAATCCAATGCCCAGAACTCAGACGTTTTAACATGTTGTGAATGAGGAACATGCTGCAACCACGAAAATGCTCACATGCCCCGACCTTCTTTTTCACAGTACCTTTTGAAATGCATCACATTCTATCTCAGTGTTATGAACAAATACATACAGTACAAATACATTCTCTTCACAGCCAACTGCTGCACCATTCCATGAAACGCAGCCAGGGAAACAATTTGGATCAAAGACCCCAAAATGAAGAGCAGGATGCCATTGGCAATGCGGCCCAGGACCTTCAAGAGCGATGTGCCGCATCGAACGCTTGAAGAATCGGCGCTCTTGGTCGTCTTCTGCATGAGACCGAACTCACAATCTTCATGAACACATTAGACCGGAGTACAACGAAGGGTGTCTTCCTCCCAATGGTGTCTATGACAAAAGGGTGCGTCTCAGAGCGGTCACAGTACATCGGTAGTACATCGGTTACAACGAATCCCATCGAAGGTCATTCGGCTGGTTCTGTTTTCCGGAAAACAACAACATTACCCATACTCTCAATGTTGGCACGGTTGAGATTGCGGAACGTGTCGTTGCCTGATGTCTGCCGTGCTCCCGCACATAGTTGTCATCCTCAACTGGCTTGTGAACTTCTGGAAAGAAAATAACAGCAAGCACAAGATTAGATAGCACCAAACTGCAGGACCGACTTGAGGTATAAAGCATGCAAAAAATCGATCTGAAACGACCAAGCCAACACCTTTTCAGCTGTGTTTAGCCAAGCCAAGCAGCGAAGGCTTGTGCCAGTGCCAAGGTGATTGCACCGTAGGTGTTGTGTTGCACATCTACCTCAAGGACGTCCTTCTCAGAAATCCTCGATGCAAAAAAATGAGCGAATGGTTGGTGCAGTGACCATGCTTTCTCGTGTCGGAAAAAACTATGCGTGGCGTGCTTTGAAGCTGCCAGCTGATTTGCTTTAGTATCTACTGGCACATGGCCCTGGTCCACATGGGCTCGTTTTTGAGCAAGGCTCGTCAAGAGATCATCTCGGGAATGGTCGTACTCCTCACTGCTGGTGTCCTCATCAGCTTTGAGTGAGCAGGCCTTGGACCCACAGGACAGTCTACCCCAAACGCAAACACTTGGGTCGTGGTAGGTCGTATCGGAGACCTTGGGCCGATGGCCTGCCGAAAGCGGCAGGTTCCCACGGTCCCCATGGTCAACAAGGGTCTCCAAGCCTACGCAAACAAGCCTACGCAGCCATCTGTTACATTCCTTTGTCCTCACATGGTACCAGTAGGGTGATGTAGGGTGTGTTATTCTGTTTGTACGTAGCATCGCGAATCTGACTTGTACAAGGCCTTGCCTGCGCGTGGGGGGCTAGATTTTGACCCACAGCCACAGTCACATAACCGGAGCAAATCTCTTACAGCACAGCTTGTCGTCCTAGGCATGTCCAAATGCCTGTGCCAAGATGCTTCACGCCAAGTAGATTGATCCGGCATTGGCAAATGTGTGACTGACTCTGCTTGGTTAGTCAACTATGTCTTGCTTGCTCCACCCTGGCAAGTCACACGCCCTTGTTATTTGCTATGAATGTTGCAAACAGAGACAACATGAGTGTCATGTGGAGATCTCATGAGTCATGAGTCTGGGCTGGGTTTATTTGTTTTTGAGCATGATTGATGCATGTGGTGATGACTCTTGGCCTGGAATGAAGCCCAAACATTGACAGCTTGGGTAGAAGGGTTGGTTCCCAAGCAACCCAGCAATCTCACATGCTTCTGGATTGTCTTGTTCCTATTCCATAGCCTAATACCATGTCCGGATGAACTGGTCAACCCCATGTGTCTCAATCAGCGGCTTTCGGCCTATTGGGATAGGACCATAGGAAAAGCATAAGCAGCACAGGGCTAGAGCGGCATCATGCCTGCTTGAATTATCTTGAACAAACTTGTTTTGTTCGGCAAAGCCATGCGACCATATGCAATCGACCATGACTTTCCAAGTCTTTCCACCTTCTCCCCGTCTGCTCAGCACCTTTTTGATCTTAAGGACTCACTGTTCACCTCAGAACTGGCAAACTTGTGGAGTCACTGTGCAACAGACAAGGCTTCGCACGTCTCCCAACCCTTTTCTTGCTTTTCCACATCCCTATGGAATCCAGGCCATGCCGATCCATTCCAATAGTGACATGTGGATTGAACAATCACAGCTCCGTCAAGGCCATCCATGGTCATCTGCCCCAGCCAACCGAGCTGCTGGAGGCAGCATCCATCAGCTGACGAGGGCTGCGGCGCCGAGCTCGGCGCCGGCGCCTGCGGCCTGCAAGAGGAGCATGCTTCTGCCCACGGAGCTTCTGCCCACATGTTGGATGCCCAACGCTTCAAGAGGAACCTCAAGAAGAAGCCATTTCTATATCTTTTGGGGACCTCTGTATCTTGTGGACACAAAGAACAACGCTATCAAAGAATGGATTGAGAAACACAACATCGTTGCGCGTTTCGCCGTTTGGCTTTGGGGCCCTCAGTCCTTGGCACTGCGGGCCCACGGCCTCCTGGGTGCAGCATGCATTTCGAAAGCGAGTTGGGATGGAGAATGGCCACATGGTGACTGTTGGGATCACAATCTAAACAGTGCCTTTCCTGACCTCAAGTGCTCAACACCGATGATTTCACGATTTCACGACTGCAAAGCTGTCACCATTTCTCTTCAACTTGACTTGGCAGCTCCTTCTGATTTCGGGCCCGCTTGGTACTGCTCCTGCACATGTCATGTCAGACCTCCTCAGCATGTCAGCCGTAGAAGGAAAACGCAAGAATGAATTCTTGATCACAGCCACACAGAATAGGCAGACTTCGCTTTTTGATTTGCCCCTTCCTGATTTGGCTCGTGGATCAATCAACCAGCTACAGTCTTTCCACTGATCGCCTATGTCACGCTGATCGGCTCCCTCCTTTCGCTGACGCCTCAGTTCCTGGAGGTCATCCATCTGTGCCTGGCCGAGAGCGACAGCGGATAACTGAGACAGTGAAAGCGGGAGGCGCACTTAACTGGCTCCTATCATCTCCTCTGAGGTATCCCTATAAGCTCCTATAATCTCCTGTCATCTCCTATTTTTCAGGTATGGACCCCCAAATGACACAAGACCCAAACAATGAGACAATGGCTCTTGCCTGCTGTGTGTCGCGCTCCCGACGCTGGAAATCAAAGGCAGACTTTGTTGGGCGCTGCTTTCCTGCAGAAACCCAAAGAAACTGTCAGAAGAGGTCAGGTAGTTAGTCAGGAAGCTCAAACGGCACAAAAGGATACAAACGGCTCCAGCAAAGATCTCTCCAATGGACAGCGATTGAAGGAGTGTCGAGGCATTGTGTTCAAATAACGTACACATTGTCCTCCACCAGCAGGAGCGGACCTGGCGGCTATGGATGATACTTAGGTAACCAAAAAGAAGGACAGGGTCGATCAAGGGAGAGAATGCTGACACAAAGCCTTGTGAGAACTGTTTGCCGCAGCCAATTTTGTGGGATTGTGGAGCGCGGAGCCAAAGGCACTCTCATCATGGCATTTTACAACTCAACTACCTGCTGAGTGCTCTTTGGACGCACTAGTTTAATCGGAACTATTTCTCTTTGCTCAACAATTACAAGGGTCTTAAAACATTGTACGGCCCCCGAAAGCTTCTAAAGAAGAGATACATTTTCGCTGATGAAACTTCTTCTGAGACCCTGAACCATACGCGTGGCACTACTACGGTGCTGCGTGTGCCACCAGCAACAATTGACTTCAGTTGCCAACAGCTTGAGAAGTCGTAAGTCAAAAAGCAGCCGCAAGTGCTCCACTCCGTTGAAGTACAGTCTGGCAGTATCTTTCCTCTCTGCATCACCAATCTCCGGTGAACCAAAAGCCATTCTCATTTCAACGCACCTCAATCCACAGTTAGATCGCGAAGGCGAGCTATTCAGAACTCAACTGGTTGGGTCAGAACCCCGCACCCAAAAGGGTTTGGCCCAAAAACATGACGAGTTGTTTTCAAAATTATTGGCATGTACTCTATACATCCCCGTTGCTACCGACTTCTGAGGTTCACCCTCCAAATTACTTAACCATTGGTCATCTAAAATGACTGGTGAGACCCAAAGACCTATACATCTCATTCTATGTATAAAGTGCAAAAAGGAAACCACTTTCTGTCGTGACTGGTGACTGGCTAATCTGACTGTGCAAAGAGCTCATCCGTGTCATCCATTCTATTTAAGACCCATTTTAGATAACCCTGGAACTAAATGAGTCAAAATCAAATGGGTTTTCCGTGGTCGACCACATGCATTTTAGCTACTGTGATCGGTAGCAACGGGGATCTTTATACAAGGGTGTTTCATCCAAGAGTGTGATTTCGAGCTTCCCTGTGAAACAAAGATACAGGACGTCCAAAAAGAAACGCTACCCCTTGTGTTACATGCATCATGTACTTGAATGTGTAAATTTTGTGCGCATGTGTGCGCAGGTAATCCCAAACATGTGCCTGCACGCGGGCTAGTGTGAGAAAGCGGGGCTGTGGTTTGTTGTTTTTATTTGCTTTGTGTGTGTGTGTCTTGCGCCTTCTAGTGAAGGAGATCAAATCAGCAAACACACTGCAAAAGCCAGCAATGCTGTGCGTTGTCTTTTTCAAGACTTCAAAGGGCTCACACTTCCAATATCATGAACGATCAGGAATAGGGGTTCCTGTATCTGTGTTTTGCTTGTTTTGTTTAGTGACAAGGTCCGCCTGGGGTTCATAATTGGTGGCAAGGTCCGCCCATAACATGTAAAGCCTGTAAGTGCTCATTCTGCCAAACATGGTAAAACCATACGGGACGTCCTGACTTTCAATGAATACACCTTAGAACTAATTATTTGGCAAACACACACAAACATCACAAACACGTATTTCCATGCAATTATTCATGTTTGAGGTGTACACAACATAGATCATAGAACATCATAGAACTGAGTTTTGACCCACAACCATGTGTTTGTGCGCCAAGTTGCTGTCTGCCGCATGTGTGACCTGGCTTAAACATACAGGTGACCGAATGCAACAAGCTTCCACAACCAAACGGAAAGACACAGTGCATCCTTTGCCAGCTCTTTTTTTCATTATTCGTCTCTAATTACACTCCCGAAGATTAACATGGAACCTGAGAATGGAGCTTTGGAAGACAGTTTTCCTTTACAACCCACTGGTTTTCAGGTTCCATGATGTTCCATGTTAACCTTCCGGGGTGTAGTACAAGTGCAGAACCGCATCACGAACACTAGAAGAAACGCGTAAGCCACGGCTCACCGAAACACTCGGGCCTTGAAGGAGGCCGCCGCCAGCGAGGCCGCCATGACGTGCACTGCCGTGTAGGCCTTGGGGGAGAGGGTTGGATCTGTTCAAACGAATCGTTTGTGGAGCCATAATGTAGACTCTTGATTATATAATAAACCACCCCATTTGAGTTGAAACACCTCTTCATATGGAGGGTTTATTAATCAAGAGTCTACATTAGAGGGCTTGGAAGAATGGTCTTTTGGGGGGAGCCAGTCATGGCCTTGGTTCGTCACTAGCGCAGGAATTTCGCTGTGTAGAATTCCATCACTAGGACTCGGCCGAGAATAACTGTCGAATAACACACCTGTATATTCCACGCTCAACTCTTTAGATGCAAGTTCTTTTTTTGGTTCGCGTGCACCATCACTGTCCTAGTGTGTAAAGCCATCGCAAGCTCTGCACTGACAACACAAGGTGGGAACACCACCGTGCCCCGACCTTAAAGAGTTGTCCCGGCAAGGGACCCCAAAGAGGAACACGACAATTTGAACACGCGTTGATGAGAGCACAGGTATGAGAGCATGAAAACACACGGATATGAGAGCACACGGGTGGCACCACATACAAGAGAGCACTGAGCACAAATATGTATATGCAAGCACAAATATCAGAGCAGTGCACGTGAGAGCAGTAAACATATAAAGCAAACAAGACAGCGCGCAAATAAGAGCGAACATGCAACAGCACACATGAGGCACGCATATGACAGGACACAGGTGAAAACAAACATAAGAGTCACGAGAGCAAACATACGACAGCACATGTAGGACCCCAAGTGCAAGAGCACACATATGCGAGCAACACCGCACTGTGGTGTAAAGCACATGCCTGAAACAAGCATTCGAGAGCACACAAGGGAGGGCACACTTCGGATCAACTGTGCAGGCTGGACTGAGCAGGTCACCCATGTTGGCCGCAACTGCTGTGTCTGGAGACACCCACGAGGGCTTCTCCAAAATTACGAGCCACAAGTCCAAGGCTCAATTTCATTGCCGCCTGCCACGGAACCAGAGACCATCACCAAGTCCAAATTACTGCACCTGCCACGAAACCTGCACATCCAATGCCTCCGATGTCCTGCACCTGCCACGAAAAGTCGACTTGAAACCACAAAAACACGAGGATTCGCTTGCGCTTGCCACGAAAAGTGTAAAACATCAAGTGCAAACACGTGCGCACATGTGCGCACCACAACAAGAACGCAGGCTCGAAACAGCCGGCCTTAGTTGCGAGGCATGTGTTTGGGAAAATCACCTTCAAATACATCAAGCTAGTCATCTTCAATTCGATGAACTGGTTCCAAGCCACCGCAGCATGTGGAAGGCCACCACCGGTCGCAGCCAGACCCAAAGCCACCACGGGATTTAGTGCTGCACCAGAAATGCTGCCTCGGAGCACGTGCAGCACGATGTTTCCACCAGGGAGACCAATTGTGTTCACACGACAGATTGGGAATGCTGAAGAAATCCATCAAGCAGAAATTCCCGCAACCCCGTGCGCCCAAACTTGTAAGGTAGATGATGTATGCAGTCCTACGCATGCGGATGCGTTCAAAATTCAAAGAGATGCTTATTGACACAGCCTTACCGTGATGACCTACAACCCGCCCAAAAATGGATCGCTGCGAGAAGCTACCCTTGGTTTATCCAAAAGTGACAGCCGACAAGACCAAGGTGCCAATCGCAAAGCCACCAGCAGACACGCAGGAGCCAACTGCGAGGCCCGAGAACTGTGAGGCCTGAGACGGTAGGGTGCTTCAAGTGTCATGCAGTGCCCTTTGCTCCTAGTAGCTTTATTGCTCTTAGTAGTAAGGCCAGGAGCCCCTAGTAGCGTCCTTGCTCCTAGTAGCGATGCCCTTTGCTCCTAGTAGCTAATATTGCTCCTACAGTAGTAGTAAGGCCAGGAGCCCCGTTCGTGGCTTCCTTGCTCCTAGTAGCGATGCCCTTTGCTCCTAGTAGCTTTATTGCTCGTAGTAGTAAGGCCAGGAGCCCCGGTCGTAGCGTCCTTGCTCCTAGTCGCGATGCCCTTTGCTCCTAGTAGCTTTATTGCTCCTAGTAGTAAGGCCAGCAGCCCCGTTCGTAGCGTCCTTGCTCCTAGTAGTAAGGCCAGCAGCCCCGTTCGTAGCGTCCTTGCTCCTAGTAGCGATGCCCTTTGCTCCTAGTAGCTTCTTGTTCCTAGTAGTAAGGCCAGGAGCCCCTAGTAGTCCTTGTGTCACAACATGTGATCATCTTACATGCTGAATAGTAGTAGTTCAATCATATCCCGTGATGTTGTGGGAAGAACTGATCAAAATACAGGGAACGCGAGGACCGACGAGGACCGAGATCCATGGATCGCTCACTTGGAGATCTCCTGCCTTCGTCTTCTTAGAGATTGCCACAGCCAGAAATACGAAACATAGCCTGAGAATTGGGCGCCCAGCTCCCCATCTCAATCCAGATTTTCCTGTTTTCTTGGTAAATAACACTCAATGACCACACCCGGAAGACTTCGTATTCACATTCTTGGCATCTGATCAACGCGCCATGGTATTGAAATAGGGAGACAGCTTGGCCCAATGAGTTCTATTCCATTTTCCTTTTTGAGGGGACTCTCCCTATTCAAGCATAGAACCACATGATCAATGTCAATGCTTGAAACCACTGCGCTCTCCTCCCGGAGCTGCCGCTTTGAGTTTGCCCCGTTTGCAGCAGAATGTACTCTTGGTCACTCTTGATGACTCTTGGTTGTATTTCACCCTCCACAAGCCTGAAGAGGCTTTCAATCCATGTCTGGGGGGATTATTCATCAACAGTCTACAATTAGTTCGCATCGAGGTCCCTTCCACCTTGAAACATGCATCTGCCAGTCTGCCATGGAAATAACATCACCAATGCTTCACTCCTCCTTATTCCTCCTTTTGAGACATGCCCGAACTCACTTCCCGCCCACACCACACTGCAGGCACCGGTTCTCCGCCACGATGTCCAGGGCACAAGAAGGTGAACATGCCTTCCGACAGCGAGGCTTGGGCCAAGGTGAAGGGCAGCTTCGGGCCGAAGCTTCGCTGCCGCGGCAGA